GGTGAGTAACACTGACCGGTTATCAGATGAAGCGGAGCAGGACAAGTTAGCCCTATGAGTCAAATAAATTCACTCGAACTACGGGGGAACGGGGGTCTTATTTCGAGAAGAACCCTCGCCCATACGCAAGTAAATCACCAGTCCACTCGTCTAAACTAATGACTAACGGTTTCATCATCAGATCCACTCTAGTGAAGAGTGGGCCAAAGGCGTAACTGGGCAATAAACAGAGTTTACAGAATGAACCACCCAAATGTTCGGACTTTACGTATCGGTAGCTGCTCATAGAATCTAGAGTAGACGAAAAGACCGCCTAATGCTAAATCACAACATGATCAAAACAGTGGTAATTCAACGCCGCAGCAATAGCTACCTGCTGAATACAGTAGTATACAACAGTCAATAATCCTATAAGTTGGTCTACCGTTGCTTAGGTGGGATATTTACAACAGAATCAAAACCTCATTTTGCCCAGGCCCACAAACTGTTAAATTCGGAAATCTAGGTGATGCTGGAGCCGCACATAACGACAAAAATCCACTGCCAAATTCACATAATACGATTCCAAAGCTGGCCTCGCTAGAGGGAAAAGTTTTACTTGTATGTAGCAGCCATTATTCCGATATGGACTCGCAGATATGTTTTTTTCTATCTCAGACGCACTACCCTGGAAGAGTGGAATTTGTCGGACTACCAATACTGGCCCGTTTTTGGTGCTAACTCCAAGTTCGCGGATGTGCCTTCAAGGTGGAGTCACGAAGAGGGATCCTCGGTAAATTTTCGATTCACCTATGGGCCCTTCGAAACGTCTACTCTTTACCTTATTTCGTGGGATTTTGTTGACCATACAGTAATCCTTAGCTTGCCAGACGCGATCAGTTAGGAGGGGATGGATAGGGCTGAAATAATAACGAAGGCCAGGAAATCATAGTTGCGCCACGTGCCTGTTTTACTGCATCACATGACTCCGAATTTAACCTCGCGCAGTATATGATATAGCCAAGGGGAAACCACACGATTGCGCAAATAAAATGTAGCGCGTCCACTTTAAGGACAGTTACCACTCTCCTGATCACTGATCCGGGGATGGTATAGTTCATCAGCTTTCGGCAAGGTTGCTGATGCCCCACCGTCGAAACCCATTTTACCACCATTCTCGTGTTAGAGGTGGCTTTATGCCAAAGTGAGTGGCTGACGTTCGGGAGGGCTTGGGCGGCTCCCCATTATCAAAGCGTCTTGTGCAAAAAATCCTCCAGAATTTTGAATATACGGCCGAATTAATTGGCCCCGGGCCGATCAATTTTTTGTGCCTTGGTCTTTTGATCGTTGTCTGGGAATGTCAGCGGCCTCCTCCGTTGTGTGTCTTCACCTCAATGAGGGTCGGTTGCACCTGTGCTTCCCTTTTGGGCGGATTAGTCGATGGACCGTGTTTGCTCGGTATTTTTAAGCTCCGTGTAACCGTCTTGTCCTGGTCATGGCGTATGCAGTGCCGTAAGACTTCATAGACCGTAGGAAGGTCTAGATGTCTGTTGATCGAGATGGCATTGAGGTGATGACAAACAACGTAGGGGACCGCCAAAATTCACGGACAACGACCAGGAGGCCAAGGCAGCAAAAGGAAGAAAAAATCGATCTGCTCAAGGCCAACTAATGCGGCCGTTTATTCAAAATTTTGGTTGATTTTTTGTACAAAACGCTTAATAATGAAGAGCCGGTCAAGCCCTCCGAAACGTCGACCACTCGATTCCACTGATCCGGTGAGCCCATCATATTTCTCAGATTATCAACCCAGATCTCTTATGAATGCTAACCTGGAATTTGTTACCTACTCCAAAATCAATCTTCTTTCTTAACTTCACCACATTCCAATACCAAGATAGGGGTCAAAATAACTAGGAGTGGGCATGGGTGCAGTGACCCACATGGCTGAATTCGTAGTGACCCAACTGCGAGCACGTGTTGCAGTGTTGAGCCTCTCGTGACTATTTGTACGTGTGTGCCAGTGTCAGTCTGGTTCTCGGTCAATGCCGACTGTACAAACCGACCAATCATCTTCTAGGCTGACTCAGCCATAACTTCCCTGAAGACGCTGGACAAGTGCCCCACCGTCTCCCATTCCCGGCGCCGAACGTACTCTCGCCTGATTACCCAACTTTCGCCCGCCGGCGCCCCACTCATCTTTCTCCTCGGGACCGAGCCTGAAGGTCTAGAGGCTAGGGCCTCGCTATAGCTTCAGTCGTCGCGATAACTCCACTGCTAAAGGGCTACAACCGAGCTGATTCCTGGGTTCAAAAGAGTCAGGCTTCAAGATCAGTACCGGATCTCTCATCAAGCGGGACTGTCCACATAATGATGGACGCATTGCGATCGAGCTCTCAGTCCAGAAGAGGGCCCATTTGTAACATACGTGGAGCTTTGTGCTAGTTTAAAAGAGCTTTAAGATTATGGTCGTAAAGGCAGTGGGCGCTGGATCAGCCTTGCATCAGACTCAGTTTCTTCTTCTCCGGCCTCGTTTTGCAGCAGTGACAAAACCTTGTCAGGCCTACTGAAGGAATAGTGAATTTCAGGTCTTTCCTGACAGCACAACTCGTCTTCGGGTCGAGAAAAGCACATGAAACACGCCAACGCCGCCAGGGCTGAATATACACAGGAGCTATGCAGCCCCGATGCTCACAGCCACACAGGAAAGATAAATTAAATGCCTCTAATCATGTTCTAGCAGGTATACGGACTCACCCCAATTCAGCATTCATGACCTGTCGACGTTTAAGGGGGTTGATGATGGAGGGTCGAGGAATTGTGTCCCAGGCCTTGTTTATTGAGCTTGGTGTGTTGCGCAAGTAGTCAACCGGGGCGAATCTCTTGAACGTCGATTCTGGACGAACTATCGGTTGGCCAGACTTTGCCGCAAGAGACTGGTAGTTTTCATCGCGAACTTCGAATTTTAAAAGTTCAAATTAGTAATTGTCTGGGTGTCTTGTAAATTTATGTATGTCATCAAAGAAATAATGACTGTATTAAAGCATGTAGAGGATTCACCGATCAAAATTATTAATATGTCAGAGGCACTATGACGGTGCTGCAGACCAATACAAATTCAAGAACGTCCACTCATGTCGATATATATATATATATGAGATATAGCCGACAAAGACAAGGGTGACCGGAATGGCCATTTCTGGCTTATTAGCCGTCAGCAGCCAGTCATACCCAACCCCAAATGTGAATCACTTGAGATTCGAACCCGGCATCACAAGTGGTCCACACTTGGGGTTGGGTATGACTGGCTGATGACGACTAATAAGCCAGAAATGGCCATTCCGGTCTCCCTTGTCTTTGTCGGCTCCATCTCATCTATGTCTACTACTAGTCGCTGTGCGACTGCCTGCGAGGGTTCTAGTATGAGCCCCAAGGCACAACGGAACGGGAATGTTCCGTAACCTGATCGGTGAGCGCCCACTGTCATAATATATATATATATATATATATATATATATGACAATGTTTTCTATCGTGCCCACAACGAAGGTACTGACTAAAACCTAGACACGTGTTCGCCGATGCTTCTCCTACTTTATGATGCAATTTCGAGGGCTTGGGTTCCTCAGCGGGTATCCCAGTGTTCCGTTGACAGTTTCTGGCATATGAACTCCAGATTCTATAAGATTATAAGAGATTCTGCGCCTTAAATATATACATATATTAACTCAGGAATGGGCGCACACCGATCCATTGGCTTCTCGAAGCAAATAAGCTTCGTATGAGCGATTGGGGTCACAAACAGGCAACCACCTACTAGGCCGAAGTCGGCCAAGCCATGATAGCAAAGGGGAGACGACAGAGTCTGGGAGGTAGATTGATACAGCACTGTTTCGGGCTTGTTTGCCTTCATTCAGCCAATCATAAGTCTGACCACCAGCTGGGACCGGAAAAACAAACATGCGCACAGACACACCTGGCGCAGTTGGTCCACCACTGGGGTCTACCAGATGGGTCATAAACACTTCATTGAACCGAAGTTCATCAGTGCCTCATGCATTTACGTATATAGCCATGCGGGTACCAATTTTGGGAAAACAGTTTGTAGAGGTATTTCATTTCTGTCTGATAACTCGTTTCATCAGAGCAGTGGATTTCTACTCGATTCAAGCAAATGATTTCAGAAATTATTCAATGCGGGACATGGAGTTAAGTCCCCGAGACACGAGTGTTTAGGGTCACTAACGGAGCCGCCTGCAGTTCCACTGATCTTCCATCTCAACTACACATCCTCCTCCCTCCGCACCGGAGGAACCTACCACATCTATGCGCCCATCCTTCTCAAAGGGCTTGAGATGTTTATTGCGCCATTTTTTTCGCACTAATTCAAGGAGACTGCCTTTGGAATATAGTTTAATCCCCTCATCCTATAATACTACACCGCTTCATCGCCTGGTGCTG